CAATGTTGTTATCGTTAAATTTTCGCAATCTATGGATATTATATTATGTTTATTACTGTTTATGATAATTAACTGCTTAAAGAGGTGTTCCGTTTTGGTCTGGTTGGCCTTGTCTTCATGAGAGGCGTCATCACGATCGGGTTTGGGAATTGGGTCGTGACAATTACATGTCTACAGCTGCACCTCTTTGACTGGAAACACGAAGAGATTTCAGACAAAGAACGACGAGACAAGTTTTTTGACCCGACCCTTATTTAGAGAGACCAAAACTAAAAGAAAGTAGAATGTGACTGAGCCCTGGTATCTGAGCTACCTACATATCCTTGGCTATAAAGGAATCAAGCCACGTGTTGTTCAGAAGTAGGAACAGTGATGGAGTACACCGAGGTGGAGAGCCGAGTGAGGTTCCGGTCCGCGGTCCAATTATTACATCAAAAATCAAAATTGAAAAGACTAACTAAGCCTATCAACTACGAGTTACAAGATTCCTATCTATGAGTCTTCTGAAGTTTGATCTTGAGTCTTGAATGGTTCTTCATACGGACTTTAGATTTGAACTTTGACGCTTGCTAGCTGCAGGTGCTAGTTCATTCTTTTTCACCTTTTGGATCAAGACCGGATATGTAGCGCTCATGACCTCAACTACATCTTGAGCAGTTCATATCTTTTTTCTGCTTCTGCATTTTGGATTCACTTCTTTTTTTTTCTTTTTTTTTCTTTTTTTTCTTTTTGGATTGAGACTACTTCTGTTGGTCATATCGGATTGTTGACTCACATTCTTGCTGCGATCTTCTGCTACTTCTAACTTGAATTGAATTCTGAAATAACTTATCTTGTTCTCCAGGTGGGCGCCTGATACTGACTTGAAACTTGAAATAATTTCGAAATGAATTCCCTTTTTCTCCAGGTGGGCGCCTGCTACTACAACAAAACAGACAAAACAAAAGAAACTTTTCTGCCCCAGTTTGGTACCGGGAACATCTATGAGTGTTAATCTAATCCTCTTATCCAAAAGAGTTCTATGAATTTAAAAGCTAAATCCCATTATCCAGGAGGGTCCTGAAAACTAAAATTAAATCTTATCTTAAGAGTGAAAATTTGAAAGCTAAATTTTATTTCCTAAAGGTAAAAATTATGCTAAATCTCATTGTCTATGAGGGTCCTGAAAACTTAAAACTACATCCAGGAGGGTCCTGAAAAACTTTAAAATTAAATCCCATTATCCAGGAGGGTCCTGAAAAACTTTAAAATTAAATCCCATTATCTAGGAGGGTCATGAAAACTTGATGTTAAATCTTATTATCAAGGTGGGTCCTGATTTCAAGACAACTAAAGATTGATAACTTAAAAAAAATTGACCCCCCTCCTTTTTCAAATCCAGACTTCACTTTTTTTTCTTTTTTTTTATATCTTAAGAGAAAATTCATCATACTAGGTTTTCTGTCTTAGGAGAAAGATTCTTCAGACTAAGATTTTGATCCTAGGAGAAAGTTTATCAGACTAGGTCCTTTTTCTTTTTTCTTTTTTGGAATCTTAGAAGAAAGATTCATCAGACTAAGATTTTGATCCTAGGAGAAAAGTTCATTAGACTAGGTCTTCTATCTTAGGAGAAAAAATTCATCAGACTAATATTTTGATCCTAGGAGAAAGTTCATCAGACTAGGTCTTTTTTCTTCTTCTTTTTTTGGTATCTTAGGAGAAAGATTCATAAGACTAAGATTTCTATCCTAAGAGAAAGGTCATCAGACTAGGTCTTCTATCTTAAGAGAAAGATTCATCAGACTAAGATTTTGATCCTAGGAGAAAAGTTCATTAGACTAGGTCTTCTATCTTAGGAGAAAAATTCATCAGACTAAGATTTCTATCCTAGGAGAAAGTTCATCAGACTAGATCTTCTATCTTAGGAGAAAAATTCATCAGACTAAGATTTCTATCTTAGGAGAAAGTTCATCAGACTAGGTCTTCTATCTTAGGAGAAAGATTCATCAGACTAAGATTTCGATCCTAGGAGAAAATTCATCAGACTAGGTCATTTTTTTGTTATCTTAGGAGAAAGATTCATCAGACTTAAATTTCTATCCTAGGAGAAAATCCATCAGACTAGGTTTCCTATCTTAGGAGAAAAATTCATCAGACTAAGATTTCTATCCTAGGAGAAAAAGATTCATCAGACTAAGATTTCTATCCTAGTAGAAAGTTCATCAGACTAGGTCTTCTATCTTAGAAGAAAAATTCATCAGACTAAGATTTCTATCCTAGGAGAAAGATTCATCAGATTAGGATTTTATTTGTTATCTTAGGAGAAAGATTCATCAGACTAAGATTTTTATCCTAGGAGAAAATTCATCAGACTAGGTCCCTTTTTGTTATCTTAGGAGAAAGATTCATCAGACTAAGATTTCTATCCTAGGAGAAAATTCATCAGACTAGGTTTCCTATCTTAGGAGAAAAATTCATCAGACTAAGATTTTTATTTGGAGAAAAATCCATCAGACTAAGACTTTTTATCCTAGGAGGAAAAAATTTGAAGATCGGTGGCAAGATTTTATGCACAATAGCAAGACAAATAAAGGCAAAAATTTGAGAAACTTCCCTTTGTCGGCTCTTTTATTCTTTTTTTTTTCTTTTTCTTTTTTTTTGAACCACTTTCCTTGCACTGCTTTGTTCCTGTTTCACACAAAGAAAAATTTGTCAGTTTTGAAAGTGGTGGTCGGTTTGTGGCCTTGAGTCTTGGGCAGCTTGGCTTTGTGTCCATTCTTTTTTAGAGGACCGACTACATTGGTAGTTGGCTGCACTGCTGGAAGACTTTATTGTTGCTTTCAAGGGACTTTTCCTTTCTGTATCAATCCTGATTGTTTCGCACCCAGTGCCATTTGTGTTTGTGGCTCAATTAGCCTTATCCCAACTGGAGATCTTTGCTTAGGGGAGCTTTTTTGATATCTTGAATGACTTCCTATTTTTTGAGCAATTTGTCTCTCAGAGATAATCACCAGTTATCTTTGCTTGAGCCAATTAGGCTGACAAGAGTCTTTTGGGGGGAAGCCTCTGCATGAATCCTCAAGTCATGTTGACAGTAACAATGGAGTGTGATGGCCAAATGTACTTTATGCAACTAAAAAGTTGGTAGAAGATTTTGAAATATTTTTTTGCTTGTTTTGACAATGACTGACTCGGAGTGAAGGACACAATGATGCAAGAAACAAGTATTAACAAGAAATGCCCCTGTCGGAAGGACAGAAGGAAGAGTTTTTTTTTTCAATAACTAGCCTTAATGGTCATGACATGGATTTTGGACTCAATGACCTGATCTATCAAACTAATCCAATCTTCCCTTTTACCATTCTTATGACATTTGAAGTCGGGCTTATTTATGCCAATTCTTCGCATCAGCTTCACGACTCACTTTCTACTAGTGGTGCCCCGAGGGATTTTTACCAACAAACCTCTCTCATTTATTTATTTCTTCTTACCATTGCCTTACAGTGCTTGTGAAGGTTTTAACTAGCAAGACTCTCTCATTTTTTCTTTCTCTTTTTTTTTCTCTTTTTTTTTCTGTGAGCAACTTGACAGTGTTCTATGTCGTGTGACAACCGTTGCTCATTCATGCTTTTCTTGGCATTCTTGGAGGCCGATTAGGAGATCTTTATTTGGAGGGTTCTTGGATAGGGTTGGAAAGAAAGGACGGTATGAAGGCATAAAGTAGACTCAATATGAGGGGGTTGTAGACTTACAACTCTTGGAATCGACTCTTTCAAAAGTGAAATAAAATCTTTGCCCTAGTTCCTCTATTGGGGATTTTTTTGAATTATTTTTTTGAATTCTTATTTGGTTGGAACGAACCGTGAGGCTGCCTACGTATCCCTTTTTTAAGGAATCAGGTCGAACGTAGTTCAAACATCTGACCTAACTAATTTTTTTCATCTTTCTTTCTGTTTCTTTTTCCTTTCTTTTTTCTTTTTGTTTTCAAGACAAGTTGACCCAACTTCTATTTTCTGGGGGCATGGACTTTTGACAATTTTTTACTTCTTTATTTCATTTTTTTTCACTTGAACTTTTTAAGAATTGCCCCAGTTTGTACTCTTGGGACATGGACTTTTCTTTTCTTTTTCTTTTTTTTTTATTTTTTGACTCTTGACTCTAAACTTGATTCCAAAAGAGGGTGGTCAAAGAAAATAACACAGACTCAAAAGGGGTAACAAAGGGTATAAAGTGCTTGAATAGCAAAAAAGGGCCTCCCAGCCTCGAGAATGCCAATTATAGTATCCTTTCGTGATCACATCATCGATGAACATGCCTGTCTTCTTGGGTATTTTTCAGTGTAAAGTTGTATGAGCAATACTTTCTTCGAAGTGAATGACCTTTCTCAATTTGGGTGACTTTTCTTGGATTTTGTCTTGATGTAGAAGATGCATTTTGCCACTAACTGATCCATTTCAAGTTGTTGGAATACACCTTCTATTGAAAAACACTTTCTATCTCTTAGTTCTAAACAAACTTCAACCCGTCTGATTATCCTTAAGCCTGATCTTCTCAAATAATTCAAAAGGTAGAGATCCTTAACTTCCATAAGCACGACTGCTTTGGTTCCATGCAAACTTAGCTCATGCTTATTTTCCAAATGTTTTATGTCTTTATTCATCTTCAAAAGTATCTCTTTCTCACTTATCCAATTCAAGATTTAATCAGTTTTCTACGATCTGGCAAAAAATTCCGCTTCATGTCTTTATTCATCTTCAAAAGTGTCTCTTTCTCACTTATCCAATTCAAGACTTAATCAGGTTTCTACGATCTGGCCAAAAATTCCGCATGCATGTCATGTCACTAGAATTAGCGTGAAAAGAATTATGCACAAAATGGACACAAAATGACTGGCTATTTTTTATTGAATGAAGGATAGCAGGGTCCGATAACACAACAAGAAGAAGGAAATAAGAGAAAAGAAGCTACCATGGCTAAAAGATGAGTGATTTTTCAGTTATTAAGCGACATCTTAGCCGCACACTCGCACATCAGCATTACTACGACATTTGACCATTTTAATTGCTTTGGATTCAACACTCAAATTTTGACAATCATCCCGAGCAGCCCATGTCTTATTGCTCAAATCTGGTAAAGTCAACCCCACATTTGTCTCCATTTTTAATTTTTCGCCGCCAACTTGCCTACTTGGTCTTTCGTGACCTTGGATCAACAACAATGGTGCTTGTTCCATTGGTTGAGAAGATGTTTTTATTTCCGAGGGATCTTGGATTTTTTTGTGACACGCCATTGCAAACCAACAAACCGACCACCTTTGACTAGCTTTTATTTCAATCCAACAAGCATATTAGAATAAACACTCTCTTTCTTTTTTTTCTTCTTTTTTTTCTTTCCTTTCTCTTTTTTTTGGTTTTTCTTTTTTTTCTCTTTTTCTTTTTCCTTTTTTTTAAACCTTTCGATCGAACCTGATGTGGGTTGCCTACGTATCATGACATTGCATGAATCAGATCTTTGCGTAGTTCGGGAAGATTAAGAATAAAGTAAATAAACTAAATCTTTTTTTTTTGGATTTTGAATTTTTTTTTCTATTTATGAAAGAAAGAATTATAAAGAAGAAAGAAAATATTTTTTGATTTCAATTTTTTTGGAATTTCGAAAGAAAAATTTCTAAAGAAGAAAGAAAATATTTTTTGATTTCAATTTTTTTGGAATTTCGAAAGAAAAATTTCTAAAGAAGAAAGAAAATATCTTTGGATTTTTGGACTTTTATGTCAAAATTGTGAAAGAAAGACTTCAAAAGAAAATATTTTTGAATCTTGAATTTTTTTTTCAATTTTCGAAAGAAAAACATCTAAAAAAGAATGAAAATATTTTGGATTTTTAGAAGAAATTAAAAAATATATATTTTTGGATTTTTTTTAAAAAATGGGGTCTTAAAGAAAGACTTTTATAAAGAAGAAAGTAAAGGAAAATATTTTTTTGAATTTTTTTTTAAAATTGTGGGTCTTAAAGAAAGACCTTTCTAATGGAGGAAGCAAAGAAAAATATTTTTGGATTTTTTAAAAAATAGTGGGCCGGAACCGATTAGGTTTGCCTACGTATCTCATATCCGGTGAGAATCAGACTCGCGTAATTTGGTCAGTTTTGACGGAACAAAAATTGACTTATTTTGAAATGACTTTTCCTTGTCTTTTTTTTTTTCAAAATTTCAGTAGAGTTTAGGATATTTCAAATACCTACCTCTCACTCTCTTTTCATTTTTTTTGATTTTTTTTAATTTTCTTTCCCTATTCTAGAGGCCAGTCAACATGCAAGGAAACAGACAGATAGCAAGTAGCACGAGACAGTCTTTTAATTTGGGTACACCTATCCTAGACAGACCCAACCCCTATGTTAAGTCCCCAAAGTCAAATGCACGTGATGCAAACACGTGTTCCTACTAGGGATCCGCGCGTGAGGCTATGTTATTCTAGGTTTAAAACCTGGGTGTATTGTTCTAGACCTGGCTTACCAGAGCGGACAACTCGAGCCGG